TCATGTTTGTAAAAAGAAAGCATTTAACAATTTATACATATTGCATTTAGCTTTTAATATATGTTGTCTATTAGCATACAATTTTTTAATTATATATCATATGTATGAAATTAGTTAATTGGTAAAATTTATACCAATTCTAAAATAATATAGGTTATTCATTACTTTTCAAATAACACATATTGATCCACAATTAATAGGAATCAATAACTGATACACAACATATATATTATTCAATAGTAAAGTTTACATGTTATACAATAGCAACTTTTATATATTATTCGATAACAATATTTTCATTTTATTAAATCTAACAGTGAACTATATTACATTAAATTTATTATTAGCTTGAAATAGGTTAATTATATAATATGTATGAATAATTATATACTATTTAATTTAGTGTTTCAATTCATTAATAATTCTGATAATTATTAGATATTTATTATCTGTAATTAAAGATGCCTAATGAATGATGAAACTTTTATCATTGATGATTGATGATACATTTCGACAAGTCAATTTTGAAATAACGAATTGATGATTGATGAAATATATGACAATTGATGAAACTTATGATGAAACCTATAAGCCAATAAAATTATAGAATCTTGTATAATAAAACAAACAAAACTATGAGTTATAGTACGTGATTTTGATAATACAGTACAGGACAGCAAAAAACATCCAATTTTTTTTATACAAAGCGCCAAATTTACAATTATTTAATCAATTTTGATTGGAAAGAAATTAATTGATTGTTGTATTTGTCATGCAAAACATACCCACACCGTCTTGAATATAACATATTGTTTTTTCTATAAGTGCAAGCCTTGGTATTGCAATTTGTCTTTTTGCAATGATAGCAGTTATGAGTTTTTTTAGCATTAGGTGTTGAATGCATTAAATCAACACTAAAAATAAAAGTTCAATTAGTAAGAAATAAAAAAAGATAAACAAATAATAATGATAAACAAAAATTACCTTATAACAATAGAATTATTTGAATCAGATCTTTGCCTTGAAGATTGTACTAAACACATGTTTTGCTTGATACCAGCTTGCTGCAATGAAATTTTATTATTAAGTGAAACAATATTATAATCAGGGTAATCAGGTGTACCTAATAGCAGAAGTTCACTGGCAGAATACTAGTTTTTAAGGATCCCAAATTAGCAGGCAATCTGGTAAGAATCTTGATTCGGTTTCTTCTGAAAAATCTTACAAGGTAATGATTTTCAATCCATCTTCACCTTATCAAAATTAGAAATGCAGATTTTTACAAATTCACCAATTTCGAATACAAATTTCTTTTAGTTTTGTGCTTTATTTCCATAGTGCTACTGATAACCTCTCAATTTTTTCTAATATTTATAATTGCAACTTGTCGAATTTTCTTAGATTTTTTAAAAGAAGGTTGAGCCGAATTTGTAATAACTTGTAATAGTAATCACTGCTTTAAAAAAATTAAAATTACAAATTGAATTTACATATTATAAAGAAGTTTTAATATAAAGAACTTTTAATATAATATAAAAAATACAGTACTTCATTTTTTTGTGGTTTGATAGAATATTTATATGCTTGCTGTTTTCCTTTTTTATAGGTAGTAATATCTGATTCAGAATCACTAATTACAATAACTTCAGACTTTGTATTATTGAGCTTAATGTTATTTGCAAATTTTGAACACTCTAATTTAATTGATTCTTTATCAGAAAAATAATTATTAGCTAAAAAATAACAAAGTTAGTTTATTATTTAAGAATTTACAAATGTAATTATTTTTAAAAATTATAAATTTTAAATAAATTTGAATAATTATTATTTTTGAAATAATCATTATTCTCTTTAGATAAATAGTAATAATCATTATTTTTTGCAAATGAATTTTGACATTTATCTTTTTCTTCAAATGAATTTTGATTATTTTCTTCAAATAAATTTTGATGATCATTATTTTCTTCAAGTGAATTTTGATCATTTTCTTCAAATAAATTTTGATAATCATCATTTTCTTCATATAAATCTTGATAATTATCATTTTCTATATCATTTTTATAATCATTATTGTTTAAAATTGCAGATATGTTTGTATTACTATAAGGAAGTTGTCTAAATACAATATTATATGGTATAGTTTTATAAGGCCTGCAGTATTGATTATTTATAGCCCCTTAAATAAATTAAATACAATAATAAAATTTTTTTTTTCCCCTCGCAATGTCATGAACAGGCGAATTTTTATTAGATATTTTAAGTAGTACATTTACCACTATCTACAATTATGCTGGCCCATAACCTCATGCTGCTACATTTAAAGACCACCCAGATTGACATGTGCTACACTACTTGTGCCCTAATTCTATAGATAATCTAGTAGAGTTCTCATACTTACTGGGTTACTCTAAGGAGGGTGTAGTATATACTCCCTAATCTTTCTATGTCTCACACATTTTCTGACTAGGCCTTTTTGGTAACTTATGCTGAGTCCAAGAACAAGTACTTGTGAGCCGAAGCCACTACAGTTACCTACTACTGCCCTTGTAGAGTTCACCCAAATCCTGGTACCTACTTTATAGACTCTCTCCCATATCTCTAGAAACTCAAACTTCCAATTTTACAGTCCAGAAGGGCAGAACCCTTCCTCTGTTTTTCTCTGTCAGCTTGTTTGGTATAATGCTTTTGCCAAACACCTCAGTCCTGTCCAGTTTTTCAGTATTCGGTTGACATCCTTTACATAGTAACCATCAAAGATCTGTGCTACCTCTCCACTCAGGTCTTGCCAAGCAGGCTCTCGTACCCTGTAAATTCACTGGATTTATCTGATAGTTTCACTCGGGTTTCATATAACTCATACATCACACTACATGTTCCAATACCTCCCAGTACAAGCTGGTACGACCACCATTAAGATTCTTCACTTCAATACAACAGAGGAGCTTCATTTACTTAAAAGCAATGAAAATAATTTGGGAACACAGGTTTGCCCCATAGAAAGTTTTTATGAAGTTATTTGCTTTGCGCATCATGAAATTGAACATGGGGGACAGGAGAAAACCTGAAAAAAAGTGAATTGCTATTATTTATTGTGATTTGTTTCTAATTATACATTAATTAAACAAATAATTTCCATTTTAGATATGGATTAGATATTGTTACATCTCGCAGCAAATTGTTGAAAATGCAGTACGCAAATGTCAAGTATGTATTACAAGACAATCTATCAAAAAAATTCCACCTATTTGCCAATAGTATCTGAAGCTTTTTTAAATCATGTTCAAGTAAGTTTAAAAATTTAATATCATTATTTATTTATTTATTTAAAATTTTCAAATTTAATAGTATTATCTTATAGATTGATACAATTGACATGACAGCAGTGCCTGATGAGCCTTATAAATATATTATT